GCGGCTGTGGGACTGGCGGGTGACAGAGGTTTGTCCTGACTGTGGGCGAGGCGGAAAAATCAAGCTACATCTCCCTCCTGATGAGCCAGTAGGGACAGCCAGACTTCAGTCTTTCCCGAGTGCAGGCAGGGACCTTCCTCTCTCTGCTGATTTAATAGGACTTTCTGAATGTGAGTAACATTGACATGTACACTGACATACATATTCAATCACACATCGGCACAGGCTCTCATACTCTATACATACACAGACACAGATACACACAAGTACACACTCACACTCAGATGAACGCACTTCACATTCTCATCCTTTGCACACAGGCTCACCCCTCACAGAGCCATAGACATACTCATTCGCACACAGCCACAAATGCATGCACACGGGCACATACACCTTTACACTCATTCACACAAAGCCATGCAGGCACATGCTCACACATGGACATGCTCATTCACACAGAGCTGTACATGCCCATACACACACACAGGAATATACCCAGAGACATCACCAGACTCAAGCACACTTGCACATACTCAAACATCCTGCCTGCACCGTCCGTCCACAAAGTTGACAGGACTTCATAAGCACTGAGGTCCTTCGATAGATAAGAGACACAAGTCCCATATGGAAGCTTCTGTAGATGACAGAAAATGGATCTTTCACAGTGAGGAAATGGGCTTGGCATGAAGGCATTGTGAGTCGAGTCACAGAGCTGACATGGCTTCATTAAATCCAGAGGCAGCCTGGGAGTGCGTGCTTTAGGGAAATGTCCCACCATGAAGACAAGGCCACCCAGGGAATGTTGCCTTCTTGCTAATCCTAGCCTTATTTATATTTATAGTGTGAGTCCTGGGAAACAAATGTGCCAGCCCTGCACATGAGAGCATTCTAGTGAGTGAGCTCTTCCTGGTTTGGGAACCCTTGAGAGTGCCTAGGAGAAGCTACACCCGGTTATAGAGAGCATGGTACCCAGGTGGCCAAGTCATACATGTGAGGAGTCTCGAATCAGGATGCTAGGAAAGGGCCCGTGAGTTCTACCCTGTCCCATGAACAGGCTGGCAGAGATCTGACCCACGAGGACCGTGTGGGTGAGATAAGATGGTGCCAGCTCTTCTTTCTCAAGAGCCACACGCGGTGTCATGTCAAATGATGAAAATATTTTGTTTTCCACATAGCTTGGGGGCTTCCCATCCTGGCAGAGATGATGCAGACACCAGAGCACTCGGGCTGCCTTGGAATTTGAGCAGACTGGTTAAGAATGGAGCCTCAAGACCAGGCAAGCTGCTCCCATTTAAATGAGTCAGCGCTTCACTCTTTTTTTTTTTTAATTGGGGCTCATCAGGGCTTCAGTTTTCTCTCTTGAATATGAGGGAGGTTTTTACACATTTCTCTGCAACATGAATGTGCTAAATCCTTCTAACGATATCCTTAAATTTTTAGTCAGTTCTCTACCTAACAAGGTCAGCAGAAAGCATATTTTACACACACACACACACACACACACACACACACACACACACACACACACACACACACACACGATCCTTCTGTCATATCAACTCCACCTCCTTGAAAGGCTCGTGAGCCCAGCTGCCCTTCTGAATTCCTCTTTCCTTCCTTTCTTCTCTTGTAACATTCCCATGGAAGCCTGCTGCAGCCATCCCAGAAAAGTATCAGACACCCTCCTCTATCACTTCTCTGTGACTGAGAAATAAATCCAACAAGTTAAACAAGACAACAGACTGAACACAGAACTGTCTTCCCTCTCACCTCTGGAGGCCAGAACTTGGAAATGATGGTATTGGAAGGCCTGTGCTCTCCCCATGCAGGTTCCTGGGAGGGCCCATCTATGTTTCCCTGGCTTGTGGTAGTGCCTCCACAGTCTCTGCCTCTCTCTGCAACCCCGCTTACGTATGTCTCAGCTGCCCTTCTCTAAGAAGACAGATGCCATTGGACTTAGGGCCACCAGGGAATCTTTTCTCAATATTCCTAACTGATTGCTGCTGCAGTGACTCTTTTCCCAATAATTAACAAGAGTCTACAGATCCATAGAGCAAAGAGATTGGACACAAATCTTTACAGAAGCCACCACTATCCATTCACTACCACAGTGCACAGAACAAAACAACCAATAATAATATACAACATATACATAACATGCCACCCCCATTCTGGACTTAATATGCAGACCCATCACATACATAGATTAGAATAATTTTTCCATTTGAATTACAAATTTGTCCTGTGCTTGTTACTCGAGACTAGGTGATAATGGATATAAAGCAAGAATTTCCTCTGGACCATTCAAAACCAGCTGTGATGTCACCCCTTGCTCCATCAAGGTAGCCAGACAAAAGCTTTTATATCACCCCCTGCCCACTACACACAGGAGTACACACATTTATATATACACACACACAACATATACCCACAACTGTATGCACACACATGTACACACAGTGTTTTCAAGTATACACAGATGGAAACACATTTATGCATTTTCACACATACATCAATCTTTTGTTCTTTTCTTTCAAACTTCTTTTGTTCATTAGGAATACATCATGCCTCAAAGGCATGAAACTGCAAGGAGAAAGCATGGAGGAAGTTCCCTGTCATCAGCATGGGAGATCATTCTGTTTTGTTTTGCTTTGAGGGGATAAAACTTCAAAAGCCCAGACAACGAAAACCAAGACAGGAAAATGGTGGCTTATCAGATTAAGACAGGAAAAGGTCAGCAGGTAGAAGAGACAGCCTAGAAAAGTGAGAAAAAATACAAACTACCCATCTGATAAGGACTAGAAGCCAAAATGCATGAAGAACTCAACTTACAGCTGATCTCAGCAAGTAGACTGATGTGATTCACACAGCTCCGTAGCAGGAAAACTAGTGAACTACCAAAAGAAACATTTTTCGAAGGAAGACATGTAGGTAGACAGGAGTGTTCCGACCCCATTAATCATCAGGGAAGCAGAATGGAAACCACTACGATGGAGCTGGAGAGACAGTTCTGTTGGTGAAGTGCTTGCTGCTAGAGCGTGAGGACCAGCACCTGTGCCAAACAAAAAGCTGGACTCAGGGGCTGCTGAGACGGCTCAGTGGTTAAGAGCACTGGCTGCTCTTTCAAAGGACCAGGGTTCAATTCCCATCACCACATGGCAGTTTACAACCTCCAGTTCCAATGCCCTCTTCTGGACTCTAAGAGCACTGTATACATGCTGTGCACAGACATACATGCAGGCAAAATACTCAAACACATAAAATAATGAAATTTAAAAAGATAATCTAGATCCACCGGTTGCAGCTACTAGCAATCCCTGTATTGGAGATGTAGACGCAGGAGGATGCCTCAGGCTCACTAGCCATCCAGTCTAGCCAAATTGGCAAGCTCAAGGTTCAGTGAAATAACTTGTCTTCAAAATAGCAATAATAATAATAATAATTCAGAGAGAGATTGAAAAAGACAGCAACTAACAACCCTAGGCCCTACATGTACCCGTGATCAACAGCTGCTGGGGAGGAGAGTCTCTTCCACGGAGCTGCCTGCAAAGTGGGCCGGGGGCTCCAGGAATGCAGCTGTTATGAGTCTCTCATCTCAGTGATGTAGCTGCATCTAAGGGACCTGTGTTCCTACAAGTACCCTCTGACTCACACCCCCGGGGGCTGGGCTCAGGCACAGATACCACAGCAGCCAATGGACATAGGTGCAGAAAGGTGGAAGACCCTGCCTATCACCAGGGCGGCATGTCAGTGTGGCCAGTTTGTCTGTCTAGCTCCTTTGATGTCCCTCGCCTAGCAGTAGTATTAGTCCCAGGACCTGGGAAGGCAGGGCAGTGTGTAAAATCTGTTCTTGCCTAGATTCATGCTGCAGTGGCCACTTGTAGTGAGACAGAAGGTCCTGGTATTTCCCTACAAGGCTGCTCGGGGAAGTTTTCCCAGCAAGGCCAGTGCTGTACAGGTGGGCCTCAAGTCAGGTATGACCACCACCCTGCCACCCCAATCTGATGCTCACGGTCAGTCTCTCGATGGGAATAGAGGCCAAGCCTGCTCCTTCACTGGCTTCCTGTTTTCCTTCTCCCTCAGTAGCCCAGGTTCAACCCACAGGCCTTATCTGTGCCCCCTGGACAACTGCCTCCCATCTGTGTATAGGAATAAACAAAGACTGTATAGAACAGAGCTGAGGATGTAGTGAAATGACCTTGAACCTATGATCCTCCCATCTCTGGCCCCAAAGTTCTGTATGACAGGCAAATCCCATCATGCCCAGGTTATGTGGCACCAAGGATCAAACCCCAGATCTTGGGCAGGCAACACAAGTTTACCAGCTGAGCCACGTCCTTTGCCTGACATCCTGACTCTCCAGCAAGCTCGATTGTCCCCTCTCCAGGTGGTAAGACTTTAGGGCCCAGGGGTAACCCATACACCTGTTTTTCTACAGTCGGAGTGTCTTCCTCAAACCCTCCACCTCCACCTGACTTTCTGCTGCCAGTGACCTGGAGAAAGACCATAGAACTCTAACAGGCTGAAGGATGACACAACGCCCCTGTGTCACCTCCACAGCTCCAGGAGACCACCTAGAAATTCACTCTGTCACAGAAGGGGTGAAGGGACCAGAGACACCAAGAGAGCGATCCCTTTTCATGGCTTTTCTAACAAGCTGAAACTGATCCAAACCTTGTTTAATGAGCACTTATTGTCTGCAAATAAGCTCAGAGCATCTTCCTGTGTAATTAAACTAGAAAGGAAGCATTTGTTCTCATCTGATGGCCTAGCTCAAGAATTAATTGTGAGATTATTTAGAATTACAATCTTGTGACCCATTCCCCAAAGAGAAAAAAGAAAAAAAATTACTAAGAAGTCTCACTCTGTGTAAATTTTCTCTGGACTTTTTTCCCTTTTATTCTTGGAAACCTCCATCAAGCTTGACTGATAATTTGCAAACAGAAGGAAGGTTCTCAGGGCAGCTCACTGCGCTGTTTCACAGGAGACCGGGCAACTGGTGAAAGCTGATCAATTTAGCATACTTTAATGTGCCCCCAAGAAAGTGCCCCCAGAATTAAGCATTCTGGCAGTTCCTAGGCAGGGGATCATGTACCACAGTTATTTCTTAAGAGTCATTTCTGAAATCGGTTGTCAGGAGTATCTACAAATGACGGATGTTCTCTCTCAGGACATGTGGCCAGAGGTTTGGGCGTGTTTACTGGCACCTGGTGCCTGTGGGTGGCACTGATTGCCAGAGGTTTCTTAAGGAATACACGATGAGGCTCAGCGCACTGGGCTTGTTAGCTGGTGCTCTGCTGTGGGTCTCTTCTACTTCTTGTTGGTCCAGTTTTCCGACTGATGCTGCTTGCCCGATGCTGCGGAGAGAATAAACATGCCTTTGCTCCAAAAATAATCACTACAGACATGTCATTTTTGACTGCACACTCTGAGCCCTGGGGACCAGAGCAGATAGACGTCTTAAAGAGGATCGGGCAGGCTGGGACCCTGCGCTCTCTGGCACCTGAGAGGCTCCCCTGGTGCAGCTCTGCTTGGGGAAGCTGTGCTTGGGTTACTAATTCCCTGCCAGGGGCAAAAGAAACCCAGATTGTTGCCAAGAACCAGCTTGAGCTTGTGCTGCTGACACTGGAAAGTCTTGCTTTAACTTGTGGGTGGAAGGAACATATCTCAAGCTGAACAGCGATGGACAGAAGGGGACACTTGACGCTGGGAGATGCTGCCCATTTCAAAGAGCAGGGTGTGGAGCAGGTCGGACTTCTGCTATGGGCTTTCCACCTTAAAGCCTTTCCAAGTACCACATGAACACCTTTCCACAGTTGCTAGCTATTGGGTGTAAGACCTGGCTGTCTTCAAGTATTGTACGAATGGAAAATAAAGATGACTGCCATAGTTATACAATGTGAAATGACTCAGTGCAGGTCATGGGAATCACAAGTGTCTATAGGGTTCTAAATGGGAGCCAGAAGAGCCATTTTACTTTGGGGATAGCTTTTAATGAGGATCAAGAGTGATCTACTGGCTGATTAATGTGCCCGATGGAAGCACGGTGTGGTCAGCTCAGAAGCAGCCTCCACACTACCAGTGCTGTGCTGGAGCATGTGAATGGTCAGTGGGAAATGCAAGACAAAATTCTTCCCAGGAGACAGAGTGACAAGGAGCAAGCCTAACAACGAGGAATCTGGGAGTAGAAGGGGGTGGGATGGGGCATGGTCTTCTTTCCAGATGGTGAGTTCTCTAAGAACTGGCTGGGATCTCTGTTCCCAGAACCACCCATGGGATCCCATCTTCTGCATTCAGAAGGTGTATCTGCAGTGAACATACAGAATGTGACTGTGGCAATATGAGGATAGGCGCCCCACCCTCCTACACTTAGCCTGGAACAGACCAACTCCAGATTGAGCGGGGGAAGGAACAGAGGGGATGAATTAAGCCTCCATCAAGAGTGGGATTCTGAATAGACTCCTATCCCAAGCCTTTCCTCACTGAGCTCTGTGAGCTCAGAGCATGCTTAGGCTCCTTCTCACTACACAGAACATCTGATTTGCTCACCACCCACACTGGGGAGGAACCAGTCTAAGGGTAAGAGGACAACAGAGACAAAAACATGCTAATTTGCATTTTGTTTGCTGCACACAAAGACTTTCATGAGCCAAAGTTTAATCTTATGTTTCATCCACATACAATAAGTTGCATACACAAGGTGGTTTTTTAATAGTTTAAAAAGTAATAGTTTAAATAAAATATACTTAAAATACATGATCAGGGCTGGAAGTGTAGCTTAGTGGTAGAGGGACTGCCTTGTGTGCACAAGGCCCTAGTTTTGCTCCTCAGTCATACACACACACACACACACACACACACACACACACACACACACACACACAGTCCATTTTAAAAATTACTAAAAAACAAAACAAAAAATAATGTATCAGTCAAAATAGGCTCTACAGTGGTAGCAGGACTCTGAAATCTCAATGGAACAACACACAAAGGTTTCTCGACCTGCCATATGTTCAACTGAAAGGGATGGGGGAGGTTGCTCTACGGGAAACCAGTTAAACTTAAAACACCTCCAGGCCCCACAGAAAGGGAAGAAGAAACCAGCAAGAGCAGATGGCCCTTCAGTGCAGAACAGCACCACCTGCTTCCATCTACAGCCCACCGGTAAGAACTAGGCCCACAATCCCAGTCATAGTGGACAGAGAGTTAGAAGGTGTACCGAGGACCGCCATCTCTGTTCCGGAAGCTCTCGCTCTCTGTGAGGATGTTCTAGAACTAGCCAAGTGGTGACTCAACAGCTCTAAGGAGGGGCATCTCTAGAGACAGAACATTTCCCCTCCTCTAGAGTCTCAAGAGGGCTAGGAATGATGCTGTGTGGAAAATAAAATGCTTGAGATGGGTTCACCCTGGGTGCCCTGCTCCCCTTCAGAAGGGAATGTTCATGTTACCTTGAAAGCTTAGTAGGATTCAGCCACAAAGAAAAAGAAACTCATGACAAGTTCATGGGAGACCACTGTGTTAAGTGAAGTAAGCCAGTTCAGAAAGACATACTGCATGTTTTCTCATTTGCAGAATGTGTGTGTATTTAAGTGTATAGGGGTGTCCATGTGGGCGTGGGGGGTACATATAATCACAAGTTCAAAATCTCAACCTAGACTTCTGTCTGGTCTGAGCCTCTACAGGTTTTGTGCTTGCTGTCTTGGGTGCTGTGGGTTCATATGCGTGACCGTCCTGCTGTGTCCACAGACAGAGAGATGGGTGAAATTCTCAAGAAAATAACAAAACAAAATGAGAAAAAAAAAACCTTTAAATTGCCCTTGTGTGGCCACCACTGACAGGGCAAACGGCAAAATGAGTTTCAAACCCTTTATGTTTCCTGACCTCCTCACATATGGAGGGATGTTGTGTCTTGCCCTCTTTCCAAAGAGGTGAGATGGACATAGGTTCTCTCTCTTCCCGTCAAAGGAAGACGAAGTTCAAGGTGTAGAAGGTCAACAGGTCAGAAAAGCAGGCCAGGAGTGCAGGGAGAAGCACGCTTTCCCCGGGGTGGGCACTGGGCTAAAGACTAACTGCACAACTGTCCATGTGGACATTCATTCCCGCAGGCTGGCCATCACCAGGCCAAAGCTGGACAAGCCTGCAAAAGGGAATCCTGGAACAGAAAACTAAATCTTGCAAGTATAAGGAAGGAGAGATTGAGCAGTTGCAGGAATAGAGTGATCTTACACTTGCACTTTCAACAAAAAACAAGGTTCAATGAAGGTGGGGGAATAAAGCGGAAACTGCCTGAACTTCTTCTGAGAGACTTACTCAGGGACACCACTTCAGTGACTCCATCAGCAAAACCACGTGGTATGAGAGGAGGGTCCTGATCTGAAGCCATCACAAAGGTGAGCAGAGTCCACCTGGCCCAGACATGAGCCACACAGAAAAAAGCAAGAGGTCCCTGGCTATGGTTAGCAACTTTCAGACCATCTTCTCTGCATGTGTGTGCCTGCCTCCAGCTCCTAGGAATGAGTGCCTGTGGCTACCCAGACCCCAGACAGTCGGATTTGGGGCACTAAGAAAGAACAGGAGTTGTGGGGACTGTGATTTCTTTCAGCACTCAAAGAGTGGTCCCCAGGGTGGAGGTTTGAGCTGGGATCCTTCTTATGCTCCATCACCTGAACAAATATCTCCTTGTCACACTACTGTCGTTGGGAAAAACAGCCAAGGCTCACTGGAGCATCTGCTAGTGAATGGTTTACACAGTGTCAGCTCCCCACTGAGTGTCCATCCTGTGCTCTGACGTTAGTTAATGAGATGAGAAAAGGAGACTCAGTGGCGTTTACCAGCTGAGTCAGCAGGTTGGCTCCCTCCACTCAGAGTCCTTATTCCAAGCACAGAACCAGCTCCATATCCTCCTCCTCACAGGGGCAGATAGGCACACACAGTCCCCACACACATAGGTACCACAGCCACTGCTCTCTGACTGGAAAGTGTGAGAGCAAGATGTCCTTCAAAGCTTCCAGGAGGAGAAGGAGGCAGGAGGCTCTGTTGGGCCTTTGGGAAGGGTAGGGTAGCCTACTAGAGAACAGAGTATGCTCTGCTCTGTGGCCCAGGGCTGCCTGGGAACTCAGAAGGTGGAGGTACCCTGGATCCAGGTCTGCCACATAGGTATAGACACACTGAACCTGGGCCAATTTCTGCAGAGGCTGAGGTAAAACTGGGTTCTTTCTACAGCTAATCACATGGCTGTTTCCCATCAGGGGCAACTTATGTTTGATGCTGCATTTTGCATTAAAACATAGCATGAAGGTGAATTTTCTATACCATAAAACTGGCAGAACCAAACTTAAGCTATTTAATCTGTGTGTGTGTGTGTGTGTGTGTGTGTGTGTGTGTGTGTGTGTTGCTCTGTGTGTGTGTGTCTGTTGCTCTCTCTCTCTCTTTCTCTTTCTCTCTCTCTCTCTCTCTCTCTCTCTCTCTCTCTCTCACACACACACACACACACACACACACACACACACACACACTGTGTGCATATGGAGGTCAGAGGTCAACTTCAGGTGTCATTCATCAGGACCCATCCAGTTTGCTTTTTAAGACAGGGTCTCTCACTGGGACTCAGGGCTCTCAGATTAAGGTAGACTGACTGGCCAGTAAACCCCGAGGAGTTGAGCATCTCTGCTCCACCCACTCCCAAGCAATGGGATTGCAAGCAGGCACCATCATGCCCAGCTCTGTGTGTGGGTGCTGCTGATCAAACTCGGGTTCTGACGCTTGCATGGCAAGCAGTCTGCCATTGCCTTGGTCCCTGAACCACCTACTTTCTAAACTGAGAACGCAATCATTTGGATTTCCAAAATGTTTTGTTCCCTCCCAGTATTTTTAAAGGTGTGTCAACTTCAAATGTTCTGCAATGCATGTCTATAAGTGCACTTCATGAACCCATGGCTCACGGGTCCCATACATGGGACTTGACTGTCTGACACGCAGGAAGCCAGTGTGCTACACATTATGCAAATCTGAAAAAGTTCAAGAACATCATAAATGGTGAATTCGAGATGGACAATCTTTCTCACCTTATAAGAACTCTCATGTGACTAAATACTGAGTCACCTCCTTTATAGATACTGTGAACCCTTCCTCTGACATCACTGAAGTCCCAATAAGTTCTTCAGGGAAGGCTAAGTTTTCAAGTCTCATTCAGAAACACCGTAAACCAATGACTTTGAAAGCTTGGGGATTTGCTTTCTTTATTTTCTACATTTGAAAAAATTGTGCATTTGAGTCTTCCTGGCTTATTTCACCCTCTACAACTAATTGAAATGTAGAAAGTAAAGAAAGCAGCACCAGGTTGGCATTTATTCAAGTGATAAGAGCTAGCAAGATCAGCTCTTCTGCAAACCCTCATGGCCATGACATTATCCACTAGGCTATGGGCAAAGGAGGTACTTGGAGTGGCTTACTGTCAACACTGAATTCTTCAAAACCTTCTTATGGAGCCTGGAGAGATGGCTCATTGGTTAAGAATACTTGCTGTTCTTCTAGAGTTCAGTTCTCAGCACACACATCAGATAGCTTGCAACCACCCATGACTCCAGCTCCAGGGGTTCTAACATCTCTGGTCTCCAAGGACACCTGTACTCATATGTACATTCACTTTCTCCACTCACATACACATAATTTAAAAAATAAAATAAATCCCCAAACCTTCTAAATCTGGCAGCACCATTCTCTCCCAGTAAATTTATACAGATATGTTGATGAAATCAAAGAGTTGAGATCAATTACTAAAGACTACTGAACCAGAATGTTGGATATAACAATTCTACCTCATCTACTGAAATCATGATCCATCAAGGTCATGGCTGTAAAAGAAGACTGGAAAAGACAACAGGTACACAGCAATCTAACTGCTGTTTGTAATTGATGCCCTGCACTGTGATGTAAGGAGATAGTGGGTGGGAGCAGGCGTAAGAGGTTCAGCACAGGTGAGTTATAGAAATACCTGGGATTAGTTTAGCAGCTGACCTCGGATAACATGGGAAACCTGGGGTGTTTTGGAATGAGACTAGAAAGAACCTGGTGATAGGTTAGATTCCAAAGAGAAGGGGTGAAGACAAAAGTCGCAGATGAGTCTCAGAGTCGAGTTGGGTCTGTGCAGCTGGAAAAAGGGAATGGAGCCACTGACAGATGCAGGGAACTGAGGAGGGGGGCAGACCAATGGCCCATGATGGCCACAGTAAGTTCTCTGTAAAGTTTGTTGTTGTTGTTGTTGTTGTTGCTTGTTTTTTTTTTTAAAGCATGTGAGTATTTTGCCTGAATGTATGTCTGTATACCATGTGAGTGCCTGGTGCTGATGGAGGCCAGAAGAGGGCATCAGATCTCCTAGAACTGAGTTATAGACAGTTGTGAGCCTCCATATGGGTGATGGGAATAAAACCCAGGTCCTCTGGAAAAGTAGCCAGTGCTCTTAACTGCTGGGCCATCTCTCCACCCCCATATATACTACATTCTCAATGTCTATTAAAATAGGAATGACAGGGGAGGATCTAGACAAGTGAGTCCTCGGGATTCTGGATCAGGAGTAGAGACAGGAACATAAGAGCCACTAGCAAATAGATAGAATTTAAAGCCATGAGCCAAGGGAAGTTCCTGGGGCCCCAGACTTGGGGAGTCTCGGTATATACTCTGGAAGTATCTTAAATTTGAGACTCAAAGAAGGAGGAGAAGTCAACCTGGAAGTGAGACTTCCTCTTGCAGTAGATGGTGGTTAGCACAAAGACCCACAACTGCTCAATGTGCGGAGGCAAAGAGATTGCTCACCTCCTCGTGGGATGTCTGTATCACACTCCTTCTCCCAAGGCTCAGGGATTATCACAGAAGAAGAGGCAGAGAGTGTGGAAGAACCAGAGGCCGTGAATGACTAGATCAAAATTGTGTTTTCTGGACATGGCCAGGGAAGTTGTGCACATGAAGTCACAGCGGTTGTGACAGCATGCACAGAACTGGTGCAAGATCCAGATGGGCCTCTGAAAAATGCTAACTGTGGAGAGGCTTGAAAATTAAGACCCATGTGTATAAGTCAGAATTGGCCAGGTTCTGCTGCAATAACAGATAAGCACAGAATCTCAGAAGGATAACACAATAATATTTGAGGGTATTTGGGCAAGTATCCTCTGTTTCAGCCTTCTGTGCTTTCAGGACTACGGAGACAGAAGGAAACCTCTCCTTGTCCAGGGTGAAATATACAATGTTCCCATTTCCATCAACTGGAA